CTATCAAAGCATCCTGGACCTCCATAACACCTCAGCAGTGCCACAGGCTGATGCCTCCATGCCACGCTGCACTGAAGCAGTCACTTCTGCAAAAGGATTCCCCACCAAGTATTGAGTGCATAACTGAACATAATTATTTGAAGGTTGACTTTTTTTAAAATTAAAAACACTTTTATTGTTCGGATGAAATATGCAAATTTTTTGAGATAGGGATATTTGATTTTTCTTTACTTCTTTGCCAAAATCATCTATTTTAAAACAATAAAAGGCTTGAACTACTTCAGTTGGTGTGCAATGAATCTAAAATATATGAAAGTTTAATGTTTATCAGTACATTACAGAAAATAATGAACTTTATCACAATATGCCAATTTTTTGAGAAGGACCTGTACGTGTCAAAACTCTGTTTCTATGCAGGAAATATCATATAGAGCTCAGTTATTGTTAGCAGTGCTCAGCCACAGCAATGTGATGTCTCATGTTTATGTTAAAGCTAATTACTAGCCCTGTGAGGACAACCATAATGTTCTTGTGGCCCTCGGTGAAAAAGCGTTTGACACCCCTGCTCTGGTTTTATCCAGTTCTTTTAAGAACTGAATTCTCTAAATTCGACCCCCTTTTATGTTTGAATCTTTCATTTCTTGTCTTGTTCCCTGTTTCTCCATCTGCAGGAGTGATAGCACTGGTGCTGTACTACCGATTCCTGCATCCAAAGTCTTTTGAGATTTTCCAGAGTATTCGTCACAGGGGGATAGGCGGAGCCTGCATGGAGCGTGGATCTACTCTCTCTCTTGAGGAGAAAGTTGCGCCCACCTTCCATCGCCATGCCACACTGTCTGGTCTGTAAACCAATCACTGATCATGTATATTATATTTCTGACTTATGATAAGACAACAAATGAGGTTGTATGTTCTGACCAGGTGGTGGGACCCTCATGGACCTTCCTATCCAATGGGAAGGTTGGAAGCATCACCACTGGCTGCTCATTCGCTTGGCTCTTAAGACGGGAAATGTCTCGAGGATCTGGTCTGCGTATGGCGAGGGGGGTCTGGCCGGACTGATGGGTCTTTCCGAAGAGCTTCACTCCCTTGATACACATCATGTTCCACGGGTTTGTTGTTCTCCTGAACTAAGGGTCAAACAGCTTACTTAAACTTTAGACGTTGTTTTGTTACTGTTTTTTTTTTTAAATAAAGGTGAACATTCCATTGTGGGAGGCTAAATGCCCTCCATTCTTTCCAGTTTAGATCTAGTTTAGGACCAAGTCATTTTTATTTTTGTTCTAATTTGTCAGGTTCTACCTCCTCAACCTCGGGTTCTTCAGATCTCACATCCAGTTCCTCAACCTGGTCCTCCACCAGCTCCACCACAAGTGACCCAGGCTCCACAGGCAAGATTTTCATTCAACTGATTGACATAAAAGTTCAATTACAATTAAAAAAGTAACAAAATGTAGTATTTAAATAAAGAGATGTCAGTGACAGAGAAACCACCAGTTTTTACCAACTTAAGCAGATTTTTCTAACGGTACAGTACTGTCCTACCATATTAACTATACTATGCTATTTTAAAGTGCCTGTGACATCAATTATTTGTGATAAATGTGATTGCACTTTTGGAAAGATAACATGGATAACATGTTGCAAAAGCAATTTCACACCACTGATATGAACAGTTGTTGAGATATTTGTATGTGAAATAACAGGAAGTGATGTCAAAGGGGAATGTCTGCATGTAAACAGAACATCGCTACAATGACTAACAACACAGACAGCAGGGAATTTTCTGATATATTTTTAGATAATTTTAGTCCCAATAAGAGAGAGATTAAGAAGAGTCAACATTCAAATAATATTGTTTTAATAAACAAAGACCAGAGAGTTTTCTTTGTTAAAGAGTTCCCCTTTGATGTCACTTCCTGTTTCACTTTAGCTAAGCCAAACTCAAAGGAAAATATGCCAGTTATGGGAAAAAATGGATTAAATCGTGTGCATTATTTCAACTTTCTTAAATATAAAGATGTTTTCTTTGACTTTTTATATTTGAAGAATATGCTTGTCACAGGCACTTTAAGCAGCTGCAATGACCTCTCTTGTCCCCAGGTGAGGGAAGTGGTCCAGCCTCCAAAACCAGCTCACTCCAGCATTGTGGCTCGGCCTGTAAGAAGAGCTCCGCCCACAACCATCCAAGACATGAGACGGTTTCCAGAGATCATCCCGGTCCATGAGATCATCATTCCCGAAGAGACTGCAGAGGAAGAATCCAGTGCGCCGCTCTCAGATGACAAAGGTTAGACGATTACTCAGCATTTGTAACAACATGCAGGAAACCTGCAGTCAGTCCACTCAAGTTGTTTTTTATTTAAAGGTGATGAGGAGTTTCAGAGCGCCGCTTGTGGCTCACCGTCGCTTTCATCTCCACAACGAGCTGGAAGCCTCCGTCACATCGACAGCAATGTCGCATCTCTGACAGAGGCGTCCTCCTCTGTGGGGTCTCTGGACATCAAGACCCCCGGCTGGTCACCTGAAAGGCACTCCCCTTTCCTTCTTGGCTCCCCGGAGCACAAGGCGGCGCTCCCTGTAGAATCCAGCACCGCTCTGTATTTCAGCACAGACGCACCATCACCTTCCAGCGGGAGCTATCTTGGCTGGGGCTCGGAGCTGTCGCCCATCTCTGCCTACCGAAGCCCCTACCGGATCAGAGAAGCCCGCTTCATCACATCCACCCCACGACTGGAGCCTCGAGGTGGAGCTGAAAGCCCTGGTCCATCTCCTGTCGTTGTTATCCCTGCCACACCGGGCACAACACCGGGTACTACTCCAGGTGGGACGCCTGGGGCCACCACCCCTTCAGCTTCGACCCCCGCAGCTTCGACCACCGCAGCTTCGACCCCCGCAGCTTCAACCCCTGCAGCTTCGACCCCCGCAGCTTCGACCCCCGCAGCTTCTACTCCTGGTGCCGCTACGCCCGGTACTCCGATTGTTCCTGTCACTCTAGTCTCCTCCCCTGCTCGCAAACAGATGGTGCAGTTTGTGGACTTTAGGGAGAATCTGATCTAAAAAGCACGAAGTCAATAAAAAGAAATTCATCTTTTTCAGCTTAGTTTCTTACGGTCATTTCTACAATAACTGAGCAGTTGGGAAATTAGTGAGTCCTTTCTAGATCATCGAGGAGTACAACTCTAAACCATCCATTCATTTTTTATCCTTTTTATGCAAATACAAATAACAAAAATACAGAAATTTGGAGAATAGATGGATGAAACTTGCAGACCACTGATTTGCCAAACTGACTCGTTACAGTGTTTATTATTTGTTTGTCATTTGGTCAACTTCTTTGGGATGATGTTTCTGCACTAACATCTATTGTCTTCAGATGTGTTTGCTGCTTGTGGTGAAATCATGTTGTTCCCAATGCAAACGTAAAACACTTTCGATCTGAAACAAGAACTGCCAGCTGGTGTTTGTTTTTAGGTTTATTACTTTAGTGCATATATACTTTTAGACAAAAGAAATTTGTTTAAAAACAATATAAATAGAGATCTGTTAAAACTGACCAAAAAAAAAAAAAGAAATGGTCCTATAATGTAATTATTTCTTGTCAAGCCTGTCAATGAAGGCAAAGAATTGAATTTTGAAACTGCTACATGCTAATACTTATGTGAAATATATAAATTTGAATTCAAACTATAGCCTTAAAAATTATTATTATTAAGGTTCAGTTTGGAAATAGTTCTCCATTTTTTATATTTTTCTAACAAAACTTTATTGCTGAGAGACCCACTTGTTGGTCCAACCACTATGGGTGTAACAATACATCTTTCCAGGTCGATATATTGATTAAATGACTAATGATTCAATTACATCAAGGAAAAACAAAAAAAAAAAAACATTGATACATTATTATCATATGCCCGATGTGGAGCAATATTATATGCCCATTGAACACAATCGTTAAAGGAGGGGGGGGGGAGTATTGTGCAAAATCAACTTTATTTTTGCTTTATATTATGTTATAATGTCATTTTCTCATCAAACACATACCCAGAGTGTCGCTTTGACTCATTCATGCATGTTTGAGAAATCCTTGAATCTCCTGTGGTAGCCATGAGAAGCTGCCTGACCACTTGCTGATACAAAGCACCGCCTACTGAACCTAGCTCCTCCCTGGAGCTCAGTCTGCAGTTGAACTCCCGCTCCACAGAGCACCTCTTCCCCAAAGCAAAGCATGTGCTGCAGTGGGAGTGTCCGAAATACTTTCTAAAAAGACACAGGCCAAATCCTAGGTTATGACACAAAGTCAAATTTTATCTGCTTTTATCTGTTATTTTATGTTGTTTTTAATGTATTTTATTTGTTTTATATTATTGTGTTTTATTTTTATACATTGTATTCACCATGCTGATACCTTGCTTTTAATGTTTTATCTAAAGCACTTTGAGTTGTCTTGTACATGAAATGTGCTATATAAATAAACTTACCTTACTTTACCTTTTGATATATACAGTATTTTCATAACAACTGAAAGTAACGTAACTTGATTGTGGTTTAGACTTAAACTATGTGTCTGGAAAATACATAAAACCCCCCTTTAAATGATTGTGTTCATTGGGAATATGTTGCATCATACTGATTGCAGGCTTGTGAATTGAATTGAATCAGAATTGTATCATGACAGACTAGAAACAATGTGTTGTCATCCAAACAAATCAATATATCATGTTGTGATAAAGCTCTGTGATTGACACCCCTACCAACCACGTTGTGCTCACTATTCAGTATAAATAGTTTCTGTTCGCATTTGTAATTTGTCCTGCACAAAAAAACAAATTTATCACAAATTGTATAAGTCAGTAAAACAATTAACTTGAAGTATCTGTTCTTGTTTTATTGACACCGACAGGCAAACTAAAGTGCAAAAAACCAAAAGTTTGTAGAGATTCTGTCATCCAGAACTGAACCATAGGCGTCTGGACTCAAGGTCAAAATTATTTACGTCTGAGTTTAGTCACGTTGTCATGATATAAATACTCTTTTTCTACTATAATCACATAATGTGATGTTTAACGTCTTCCGATTTATTTTGTCTATTTTAGTACTTTGTTGTTATGCTGCTGTTTTGTTTCTTTCTCTGTCAAAGGGAACTGTATGTTTAATTTTCTGATGAACCGATGAATGATTGTTGCTCGTGTTTAAAGGCGCAGAAACACGAGCAGCATTAAGATATCAGATTTTATGGAAGAAAGTATCTGGTGCTTTGTAGCTGAACTGCTTGATCAAATGTGTCAGAGAGTTTATGCTTTACCGCAGGTTGCTCATGCAGGCAATTAGAAAAGGTGTTCTCTTACAGGGGAAGACTTTTGAACTCATGCACATTATTGTAGTTGACACATGCTATAGACTGAATGTATGCAGTAGCAATAAACTAGCTTATGAAATGTATCTCAGTGCACTGATGGAGAAATACATGCACATGTTTTAGTCTTAAATCAAAGCTACGCCTTGTAAAAAGATGCTGCCACACTTGCCTGCTTTGAACTTGTGTACATGATGCACATATTCACTTATTGTTCATTTTTTTATTTTTATATAATTTTTCTTCTACATCATTTCAAGGCTCTGTCAGGAGAGGTTTGTACTGAAGGAGTAAGGGAAGGAGTAAACGTCAGTAGTCGTTGGATGGATTTGAATTTGTTTTTAAAAATGTTAGAAACGTCACCGAACAACCTCTCACATTCATCACTTCATGTCATGCAAGGCTTTCCACAGAACCAGAACCACTGTGGTAGAAGTGGCCCATTAAGTGTGTTATTGATGTGACAAGAATAAAAAGATTTATGATTCATGAAGTGATTTATTTACTGTAATTTCACACAAATTGCATTGTTTGTTTGAATTCAGATAATAAACTACAACAAAATCAGTGTTAATCTAAGATGCTCATATGGGGTCTTGGCAGGGCTCATGCCCTATACCAGTCATTTTGCAAACCCAAAATAGGTTAAGTTGGTCATTTATCCTATAGTTCAGGGGTGGGCAGTCATGGTCCTGGAGGGCCGCAGCCCCACACGTTTTACATTTTTCCCTGCTCCAGCACACCTGATTCAGTCACTGAACTACCTCTTCCAAGTTCTGCAGTGTGGAGGACTGAAATGGACATAATTAGAAATAAAAGCAGAAATAGATAAATTAATCTTTAAATAAATAAATACATTTAAAATGCACAAAATAAATTAAAAAGAAGAACTTTACCTCATGTTTTATAATTTGACCTTTATGTTTATTTTTTCAGCTTAGTTCCAATAAATTATATATTTTAACACAATTTAAATTTTAATGTTTTTAATATATATTTTGCTGTTTTCCTTTTACTTATACATGCATTTGTGTCTCTTCAATGCTTAAACTGAATTATTTTTTTAATTTTGTTCAACAAGTCTTTTTATTTCTATGTGTTGTATGCTTGTTCTGCAGCAGTTTAGCTTAAAGTTTAGTTAAAAATAAATGCACAGGTAATGTTTTCCTCCTTACCTTTTGTTTGAAAATAAACTTTAAACTTTTAGCTAAACTGAGGCAGCACAAGCATGCAACACATAAAAAGACTTGTTGGAAAAAATATAAAAATAAATAAGTATAAACATTTAAGACCCAGATGCTCCCTAGATGTCACTGCTGGCAGGGCAGGTGACTCCCTTTAATGCCATTACTAAAATAATGTTTTTTTACTCTTACTGTGACTCACAAGCTCAACACAACAGCAACATAAACTATCATATCATATCACAAGCATAAACTATTTTTTTTATTTAATTTCACCTTGATAGTCCAGTACGGTGACTATTATTCTTATTTTTATTTAGATCTATGATTATTTTTTTATTGTTATTATATTTAATTCTATTATTTTTGCTGCTAATTCTCTTATTGTTTCATGTACTACACCTGAATTTCCCCGCGCGTGTGACAATAAAGGTATCCTGATGCATCTCAGTAATCCAGGTAAAAAATCAAAAAGAAAAAAATTGTATAGGTCTTCTGGACGGGTTCTTCTCTAATGAAACGTTTCGTCTCTCCTCCAAGAGACTTCTTCAGTCTGAGAGTTTCAGGCAAAATTCAGGCTTTTAAGCACTGCCTCCATGTGACTGATACTCACATCACATGGCTATCGTTGACACCTAATTAACACCTATTGTTAACAGGGGGTGGATTGATACTGGCAATAGCAGCACTGTAGGAGGGGGACAACTGAAAAYGGAGGCCTCCACCTCTGTTTAATGATGGACGGTCTTTATTCACAAAAATGGCTTTTTATTTACTCCTCTCTGTGGTTAACCAGTGGTTATTCCGTATGTTGCGGGTGTTTCGGAGAAACTGAGACGTTTGTTTTCTAAACATGATGTCCCAGTGGCTTTCAAACCCCAAAACACATTACGGCAAAGGCTGGTTCACCCCAAAGATCCGGTGCCCCGGCACAAACAGAACAATGTTGTATATGCTGTTAAGTGCCAGGAGGACTGTGACTATACATCGGGGAAACAAAGCAGCCACTGTTCAAAAGAATGTCCCAACACAGACAAACTACATATAATGGCCAGAACTCTGCAGTTTTCACTCATTTACAGGCCAGCGGTCACTCTTTCAGAGATGAGGATGTTCTCATTCTTGCTAGAGAGGAACGTTGGTTTGAGAGAGGAGTAAAAGAAGCCATTTTTGTAAAGAAAGACCGTCCATCATTAAACAGAGGTGGAGGCCTCCGTTTTCAGTTGTCCCCCTCCTACAGTGCTGCTATTGCCAGTATCACTCCACCCCCTGTTAACAATAGGTGTTAATTAGGTGTCAACGATAGCCATGTGACGTGAGTATCAGTCACATGGAGGCAGGGCTTAAAAGCCTGAATTTAGCCTGAAACTCTCAGACTGAAGAAGTCTCTTGGAGGAGAGACGAAACATTTCATTAGAGAAGAACCCGTCCAGAAGACCTATACAATTTTTTTCTTTTTGACAATAAAGGTAGATTCTATTCTATTCTATTCTATTCTATTCTATTCTATTCTATTCTATTCTATTCTATTCTATTCTATTCTATTAACACCCACACATTAAATATAAAACATGCAACTATTTTGAGGTTTACTAGTTTCTACTTTGGGACAAGCCTCTGCAGCTTTGTGAGCTGTGCTTGGTGTTCTCAGGTTAACAGATGTAAACATAAAGACACAACAGCTAAAAAGGCATAATTTTACATGTATTTTTATTAGATGATTGGGTAATTGTGTTCTGTTAGATTAACTGTAAATATGTGTAGAGAACTATTCGTAATTTACCTCTTAATTTTTGTCTTTCGACTGTTTTTCATTTGTTCAACACTTATTGACGTTAGCGTGACTGGCTGCCCGCCAGCGCGCGCGAGGGGGAGGGGCTGGAAATGACGGTTTGTCACATGAGCTGCGTTCATGTGACCGATTCACGTGTTTTTAAGGCATAAATAAGTCCGACACTGCCACAGCGGGTCTACAGACAGACGTCCGGGGCCGAACTGGAGCTGAGTAACTCACCGAACTGACAGAAACAACCGACAAAGACGCGACAGGTTAGTTTGTTTCGTTGACTTGAGGCTTTAGCAGCAACTACAAACAGCTAGCTTAGCTTCGGCTTAGCATATCTACTGTATCCGTCTCAAACCTCTACTAATATCAGAACATGTGAGCAAAGCTTTTATTCATATGTTTGTTGTTTGTTTAAATCTACATATCCTGTTAGGTCAAGGAGATAGTTTGTTTCCATATAGCTCTTGTTTGGTTTAGTCGTTTCACTCTGGTTTAACCACAGGTAGGGTCTTAAGCTCCGCCCCCTGTTACCGTAAACGGTGATTCACATTATTTTGTATTGAAGCATTAAAGTATGAGACATTTCTATGAAAGTGTGTGAAACATAATACTGAAGTCTGTGAAATGGAAAGTGAAACCTTGCTATTTTATAAGAGCGCCTTGTTTTTTTTAAAGAGCCGACAGACAACACATTAGTTATAAAACAGAGACCGTCCATGACCAGGATGAAACTGCTGCAGAGAATCATTCACACTTCAGGAAGCATAAATAAATATTCCTAGTTTTTAAACGTTTGGTTTTTTTGTCTGTTCTTACTGTATTTGTTTAGTGCACAAAAAGAAACAATATAAACAAGCCCGACAGTCAGGAGGAATGGGCAGGTCTTTATCTTAAGTCAACTCTGGAGTTTGATCTGTTGTTGCTTTGAGCACACCACAATGACTATTGTTGGGGGAATGCTTGTCTCTTCTATTGTGCACACCAAAAAGAGATTATTCCTCAGTAGGAGTAGTGCAGACTATGTGGACTAGATTTAAACAACTTCAAACATAATCTTTGATAATTTCTGAGATTAATTGAAGCACTGTCGTACAATCAACAAGGAACTCTCTTCATTCTTTCCTGTTTGTTTGGGGTTGACTCATCTCTGTCTTCATTTTAAACCTCATAGGTATGGAAAACATCTGACATCATCTTAACCTTTTTTTAAAAGGTTAAAAACACTGCTGGGCAACATAATCTTAGAGGTGTAGGTGGTTTAGAGACATACAAATGAATGGAAACTTCTCAGTGACTCAGCAGCTTCCTGCAGTTTTAAAACCGTGTGGAGTTTTGAAAGTGAAGCTATTGATTGTTGGAGGGAAGTGAAAGATATAAAACAGCAGACTGGGTGTTTCACTTCTTCAAATTGCTTTTGAAACATTGCTTTAGCTGCTGTATTCGATAAAATCACTTCTGTAAAAAAGTAACCAGAGGCTTTTTTTGTTTCTCACAAACAATCCTTTTTGCTGAGTCAGAGGATTTGAGCATTTCTTTGGTTTTTCAGAAAAAGGAATTGCATTTTAAAAGCTCACATGCTAGAATATTTGTACCAAATTTTACAAAGCTGACACCGACCGACTTGCACTAATTTTAGGTTGTGATCTCAGTTCTGTGAAGGGGAATTTCTCTGTTTACTTCTCCTATAGGTAGTTCTCACTAACAAGAGCCCCAATCATGTGACATGAAAGCAGTTTCCCAATAGTTCTTCTTATTTTACTGTTCTGGTAAGAGGACATGCCTGAACAGGTGACACCACTAGAGCCTAACAAGACATTTGTCTGGACTTGAATGTCTGGGCCAAACATGGCACAAAGTTTATATTAAACTTCAAAATAACCTTTTGGATTCTGGCTGTTTTGGAAAAACATGTTGTTGCAAATTGCAGAATAATTTTGTGCCGTTGTAGGTACTGGTATTTTGATCAGACTTCCTGTTTATGCCAAGTGCACTTTGGATTTTATTTTATCAAACGTGAATTAGCTGATTTAACAGTTCAACTAAAACAGAACTACCCTCTAGCTAAAATGTGTAATGTAATCACTGCAGATGTTCTATAAATGCATGACTAAGCGTTTCTGAAAAGCATTCCTGAGGACACAAGAGGTTTTTTTTGCATCTTACACTTGTGGATTCAACCAACGTGAAGATGTTAAGTCTACTGTGAACATTTTTTCTATTTTGTGCCAGCTCAGTAGTTTGAGGAGTGTATATTGTGGAGAACATTGTATTTCCCACGTTCATCATGATTAGTTGTAACATTAGACTTTATTTAATAAACATATAGCCTGGCCCTTGCCTTCATACGCAGCTCTGCTCAATTCTAGTTTCCTTCTCTGCTCCGTCTGGGACTTCTCCCATCGAGATGGATTTCGCTGGCAGATTTTTAGCTGGGCCAATCAGAGAAGAGAACGTCAATTTTCTGCGCACTGTCTGCTTGTAGTTTATTTTACCTGGGCCAATCAGCAAACAGAAGGCGGAGTTTTGAATGACGTTGATGTTCTGTGCAGTGTCTGCTAGTTATTTTAGCATACGGCAGTGGAGGAAGTGAATGAAGTCAGTCCGTGTTGATAAGACTTCAAATTAAATTAAATTTGTCTGACAAAGCAGCAGCTCTCATTTACAGTCGTCTCGTTCGGCTCGGTATATTTCTCCTCTCAGTAGGGTTGTTTACAGCACACGCGATTTCCGGTTAGCTTCTTAGCTTAGCCTCCATCACAGCGACATATGTCGCAGCCAACTGATCCAATCATTTTAAACTTCAGCAGAGGCCACGCCTCCTGCAAGAAACACTTGTCTATTCAGCAAGTCCAGACCCTTTTACGAAGCAAAGTGAAGGACGAGGGTCTGGTGGCTAATAAACGTATATTTTAACTGTAAAATAAAGACTGTAAAAATACTGTAGGATGTTCAGTTTTTATAATTTTTAAACTAAAAGTTTAAAAATATATTACACGGACAGGGCCATTTTATTTACATGCAAAGCATTCTGGGTGAATGATGATGTGGGTAGGTCATCGGTGCGAGGCTGCTAGCGAGCTATATCCACCCTGAAGGTTAATCTTGGACAATATCTGATGATCGACTCTTTTAAATGACCAGAGAGCGTTGACAGAGAGGAGAAGGTAGAAATGACTCAGCCTGGAACTGAAAATATGGATGGAGGACCTCAGTTTACCTTGTTTGTCGCACTTGCACCAAGCTAATACATATAAGGCAATATAGCATTGGCACTAGCACAAATGCTAACAGGCTAAGCTGAGGTTCTTCTTCATGAAGCAGCTCTGTTGTCCTCCATCCATATTTTCAGTTCCAGGCTGAGTCATTTCTACCTTCTCCTCTCTGTCAACGCTCTCTGGTTTCATTTAAAAGAGTCGATCATCAGATATTGTCCAAGATTAACCTTCAGGGTGGATATAGCTCGCTAGCAGCCTCACACCAAGGACCTATCCATATCATCATTTACCCAGAATGCTTTGCGTGTAAATAAAATGGTTCCGTCCGTGTTAAAAAATTTATTTTTTAAAATGTACAAAACTAAACAGCCTACAGTATTTTTACAGTCTTTATTTTAAAGTTAAAATAAACGTTTATCAAATAAAGTTTAATGTTACAACTAATCGGGGATCCCTTTAAGGGTTGCCTCTGCTGATTTTACCTTTCAGCTGAGACTTTTCAATGCATTGATCTGACTAAAATCTAGCTACAAATTATTTTCAGTCCTTGCAGCTATGATAGTCAGTTAAGTTAAACTTCAGTTCATTGTATAACTGTGCTAATCTTGTCTGTCAGACAGGATGTGGCATGCAGCTCTGTTTCTATTGGCTGCTGGCTTTTCGGTGAGCCTGGCCAGACCTCGCCTCCACCCTCTGTCCAATGACATGGTCAACTACATCAACAAGGTCAATACTACCTGGAAGGTGAGTTTATTTCTTTTATTTCTTTATTTTTTATTAATTTCTTCCTCCCTTCAAACATTTTTGACTAAATGACCTCTTTGTCCTGCAGGCTGGTCACAACTTTCATAATGTTGATTATAGTTACGTCCAGAAGCTCTGTGGCACAATGCTGAAAGGACCTAAACTGCCCATCATGTGAGTTTCACAAGAGCTAAATCTGATGCTAATGTGAATTACAAACAACAATATTAACATACATGTGCACATTTAACAAAGCACTATTTTTGTCTTTATTTTGTCATAAATCTGAATAGTTTAAATGCCACCAAGTAAAATGATGTAACGTCTGCTCATTTATCAAAAAAGTTTCACAGTAGCAGCAGGTGGTAACGCTGACTTGTCTTCCATGCAGGGTTCAGTATTGGGGAGATCTGAAGCTGCCTGCACAATTTGATGCCAGGAAGCAGTGGCCTAACTGTCCCACTCTGAAGGAGGTCAGAGACCAGGGCTCCTGTGGATCCTGCTGGGTAAGAAAGAACATTTCTGATTTTCCACCCCATGAAAACTAAACTTTTTTAGTTCTGTTTTGAAGTTTCAGTCAGGTTTTGTTTTTGAGTCTTAACCTCATGTTGTTGTCCTCTGTCTAGGCATTTGGTGCAGCAGAGGCCATGTCTGACCGTGTCTGTATCCACAGCAATGCGAAAGTCAGTTTGGAGATCTCCTCTGAGGATCTGCTGACCTGCTGTGACAGCTGTGGTATGGGGTAAGAAGCAGCCATGCATGCCTATAGAGATGCAATAATAAAGGATACAATGTGTTAATTTTGTACTTTCCTTTTTAAGCTGTAATGGTGGCTACCCCTCAGCAGCTTGGGACTTCTGGACCAAAGAAGGACTGGTCACTGGAGGTCTTTATGACTCTCATATTGGTGAGTGTGCATTTCAGGCTACAGTCATGTAAATGGTGAGCACAGGGCCGGATTTAGGGGGATACGGGCTCCTGGGCTTGAGCCAATAACGGTGTGTGTGTATGCATATATAAAATGTGTATGATATAACATCGTGTGCTGTTATATCTAATTTCTGTCAGCAGTAAGAGGCAGTTATAAAACCTACATGTTGCTGATATTTCATTTTTTAAGTCAACTAAACATGCTGTCATATTATTTGCTTATTTTATGTAACAAGAAAATATTTCAAATTGTAACCCAGGCTCCTCTGTTTTTTGCTTCAAACAGACATATGAACAGCTCTTACAGAATAGTTGTGTTCTCATGAAAAGCTTCATCCTGACATTTAGGACATTTATTTTATACTAGTTGTCTTTATTTAGATGAACTATTTTAAGTTTATTTTTTTATTTTAAGTAAAATATATATTTATATTTTTAATTCTTATTTTTTCAAAAAACATTTATATTTATAAGGTTCTACTAATCTTATATAGCTGGGAAATATTTAAATAAGCACAAAGCTTGGGACTCAAGAGGTTAAAACTGGTGGGGCACAGCCTCCCGTGGCCACCCCCACTTGTTGTGCCCCTGGTGACTGACAGGTGATGTTCCAGAGTGAAATGACGAGCTGGAGCTCTCCACATCTCTGTTAGATCTAGCTGGAAGAATTTTCAAATTTGTCTTCTGAGTTATTAGAAAGCACAGAGCTGATTTGTTGTCAGGCTGAGCTTAACTGGAGAAGTTTTCTGTTTGAAGCCGCTCGGCCCTGTTAGAGCTGCTGCACTGTGCATCTCTCTGGATGCCAGAGACAAGAGATTTAATTTATGCAGCACTTATACAAGGCATTTCTTATTTTGTGAATGTTTAGTTTTTAATAAGCTCCGCTGTTTGTTTTAGCAGCCAGCCCGGGGTTATTGGGACTAATTTTTCTGATCTCCGCTCTTCATCGTCAGCTCAGGTGGCACCCTGCAGCGCTAATTAGCTGTGTGGTATAATCGGCCCGACCTGTGGTGAGGAGAGGTGAAGAAGTCATTTATATGGCATAGTTTGAAGCACAACAAATCCAGAAAAACATCACAGCCCCAGAACCTGTCGCTCCCGCCCTGCGCAGATGAACCGCGCGCGTTCGCTTCAGCCTGTGGGCTGGTTCATGGACTGGACCACCGGCCCTCTGACCTGCACCATTGCCGGTGGTGCATCTCGTGGGCCGGTGGCTCGGGGGCCGAGGTGAGCTGCTGCTGTGAGATGCTGGTGGGAAAAAAAGCCATCTCCCTCCTGACACACACAGCTTGGAAGCACAAACAGCTGACGATGACGCAATCGTCCCGTCTCGCTCCTGGAGGAGAGGCGGTCAGTCAGAAAGCAGGTCTCGTTTTGATCCGGGGATAATGACCAAACATTCAGGGCTAAAGTGCCTGGATCTATTCATTCACAAAAAAAAAATATGTCATTGTGTGGCGGGGCCCCCCAAAGCATCAGGGCCCTAGGCTTGAGCCCCGTAAGCCCCTGCAAAAGTCTGGGGCAGGGTGAGCATTATTTCAAACATATCTTGATATCCTGGTTTCACTCAAGTTTATTTATATAGCACCATGTTACAACAAACGTCTCAGGACACTGTACATAAAAAGAATAATCTAAAGAAGAAACCAGCAGGCTGTGTTGAATCACTTCATCACAGTCTCCCATCCTGAGCAAACTGTGGAGAGGAAAAACTCCCTGCTAATCAGGAAGAAAGCTCCAGCAGAACCAGGCTCAGGACAGGAGACCATCTGCCTCGACCGGCTGGTTGAGGGACAGGAAAGACCACTCAACCGTTCTGTGGTAATTCTAATAAAAACAAGAACTGTTGCACATCACCTAAAGGTCCATCTCCAGAACATGAAGATACAGATTTATCTTTTTACTGTATAACAATGGCCTTTTATATTTATTTTTTTCTTTTAGGTTTTACTATTCTTAAACTCTTAAATAAACATTAATTTTTTGAGAATTAGAAATCAGTTTATAATTGGTCTTTCTGTATTTTGACATGCTGCAGAACAGAGTTTACCAAACATTATCAAGCCCCCAAACAGCATTAGGCTGCCCCCCCCTCTCCCAAACCCACAAAAGATGATACAAAATGAATAAAGAAACATTAAATTTATAATTATTTACATTTAATTCACTATTCAGTAAATATTAAGAATTTCATTAACATGTTTTAAAGACTATTATATTCCCACTGATAAACTTTTCAACAAAATGTCGACGATAAGAACAGAGCAACAGAAAAACCTTTCTTAAGCTCTCTTAAATAATATTTCCTTATATTCTGTAAAATTTAAAATATTGAAAAACAAATGCAATTTTATTAGTTTTTTTTTTCTTTTTTCTATTTTTATATATTTCCCTCTGTTTTCTGGTCCCCTGGTGGCCACACTTTGAAAATCACTGCTGTAGGAAATTGATTTTGGTCAAACTAAAACAGGAGCATCAAAGTTATCTCTGTATTACTGTAGTTGTGCATTTGTGTTTAAAGTATAGTTATCCAAAACCTGTCTTTGTCCACAGGCTGCAGACCTTACACCATTGCACCTTGTGAGCACCATGTGAACGGCAGCAGACCTCCCTGCACCGGGGAGGGTGGTGACACGCCTGCCTGCGTAAACAAGTGTGAAGCTGGATACACACCTAGCTACCGTCAGGACAAGCACTATGGTAAGAATAGAAAGGGTGGGAATGGGTCATTAATTTCTTTATATATAAATAAGTATGTTAATACTGCTTGTTAATTCCATTGCTTATTCACCTGAGATGAATTAATGTAAACAGTTAGTTGCTGCTACAAACAAATCTTAACTGAAAGTTTGTTGTAGGTAAAACTGCTTACAGCGTGGAGGCGGATGAAAGTACGATTCAGGCTGAGATCTACAAAAATGGTCCAGTAGAGGGAGCGTTTACAGTCTATGAAGATTTTCTCCTGTACAAGTCTGGTAAGAATGTGTACTTGTAAAAGTTTTAAACTCTGTATGTGGAGCTCAAGGTGATGGTAAACGTACCTTACTGTCTGTTTTCCCTTCCTCAGGTGTTTATCAGCATGTGTCTGGTTCTGCTGTGGGTGGACATGCCATTAAGGTCCTGGGCTGGGGGGAGGAGAACGGTGTCCCTTACTGGCTTTGTGCAAACTCCTGGAACACTGACTGGGGTGACAACGGTGAGCAGAAACATTAATTATGGTTTACATCTACTTTCTGTTTGTGTAGCCCTCCCATTTGCATAAGATATACCTCTTAAATATTTATTTATTAGTGACGCTACGTTTTGGTTTTTCATCTAAATTAATCTTCAACTTTTGTTATTGAGTACCTGTCACACATTGGTTCATGTTTTTGTGTACACCCGTGTTTTCTTTTGTGTTGAAATATAAACTTTTCTATGTTGTTTATTTTTTTTCAGGTTTCTTTAAATTCCTGCGTGGATCAAATCACTGTGGTATTGAGTCAGAGATTGTGGCTGGAATTCCCAAATAAACCAAAGGTGAGTTTATAAGTATTTGACACAAACTTGTGATTACAACACGTATCAATCACAACCAGGAGAAGTCGCCATTTTTTGAATATGGTTCTTGCAAAGAAACTATATTAAGGTTTTGTAATTGTGCTCAAGCTTCTCTGGTCTGAAATATATATTTATCATGATATATTTGAGTCAAAGCTTGTCAATGAACAGCTAGATAATTTTTTTTTCTCTTGCAGGTCTGAGGTGAAGAATTGCCACTAGATGGCGCTGTACTCTACTCGCCTGCCCTATAACAAATTATTCTTCAGGTTCCCAACAATCACTGTTGTCACAGTAACATGATGGTAAAATGTGCCAGCACTCAGATCAACATTTTCTATTTCAAAGCTGCTTGTAGCTGTTTTCAGATCTTGTAGCAAGACCTGTTAGGACAGATTTTGTCACAATGCCACTGAAAGAATAAGTTTTTGTCCTGCCATATCACCGTATCCTTCCTTTTTTTTGTACTGTTGTGATATTGAGTGACATTTTAGATCAATGATGATTGAATCAAGTTTTTAGAACCACTCTAAGCAAATTTCAATGTGCCTAATAAGTAGTGTTAGCTTTTTTGTTGTTTTTGTTGATCTACAAATGTTTTCAAACTTATTGTCTGAATGTACTGATTGTACTGATTGTAACTTCATTTTAAATGTTAGGACAAATTTAGAAAATGTTTTAAAATTTGGATGGAATTTAGATGGTTTTCAGCACAATGTTTGCACATTGTTCAATTGAATTTAATAAACCTTTAAAGTGGTAATATGTATCGTTTTTTTCTACTACAAAACCAGGGGTGGCAAACCAAAACTAATATCCATAACAGAATTCTTATGATGTGTAAAATCAACTATTTAAAACTATGGCAATATAAAGCTACAGATTTGCCAACAGATGTTTTAATTTGTAAATTTTAAGGATATTACTGATTTTGTGACATTCAGATACAAAAAAAAAAAAAAAAAAAAAAAGAACAACAAGAATCCAAACTGTCTGCACTTCCGCAGCAGTCACTTTCTAATTTGTCCTGTAGTACCATAAAATGTCCTTATATTCTTACATATTTCAGTGGCATCAGAAGTATTTGAAATGTTGGGGGGACCCACTGGTGGGGGGTCTGGGGGTCCTCCCCCAGAAAATTTTGAAATAAGTAAATGCCATTTCTTGCATTCTGGAGTACATTAACAGGTTGTTAAACAGACGTTTGAGAAACAACAATACATAGGAAAACACTTGATGTGACTATTCTATAAATCAAGTGGAATGAAACTGGAATGAAACAGCACTGAGTGAAGTAATATGGAAAATGTGGAGGTTCAAATTAATTAAATTTTTAATGTGATGGGGAAACTTCAATTCAAAAATGACTGCTGTGATGTCTTTTATTTAAAAATGTAAAAAATACTTTAAAGACATTTACAAGGAACAAGCTTTTTAAATTTTAGAGCCAATCACCTCTTCTGTGTAAGAAGTTTTATTTGCTTGTTGATGTTTACTTTTGTGAAGAAAACCTGTAATTATGAAAACCCCAAATTATCACTGTAGTGTTATCCCAAACTATTAAGTTATTTGCTTTTTTATGTCATATAATAAATATTAT